CTATTTTTCCCCCGGCGTCAGGCCCGGGCCCAGCCTGCATTTACTGGCTGCATAGCTCTGGTGTAATGCTGAGGGCTGTGGCCGCATTCCGGAAGGTACCGACGTCCTTTCACAGCGGGTAAGCGGTGTCAGCAGGTGGAAGAGGCTGCGTCTTGCCCTCAGTCGTGCCTCCCCGTCGTCGCCCTGTGTTTCAGAACCTAAAGCAGCAGTATTACACGGGGTACACGGAGAGCGAGGTCACGGACGTCATGCAGCACATGGCCAAGAACGTAGTGAAAGTGAACGAGAACCTGACCAAGTTCATCGTGAGTACCGTCCGTCCTTCGGCCGTGGGAGCGCCGGCTTCTGGGTCTTGCACCTGACAGTGTGTTTGCGCACACCGGAAAGCTGTGAGCGAGTGTGTGTGCTTGCATTTCATGTCAGCATGTCGTTTGCCTATGTGAGAGGCTATTGGGTTGTCGGAAAAGTCATGTTGCATCTTTGTGTAGAAAAACAGAAAATATTCATCATGACTTTTCCGACAACCCAGTATTTTCACACTGATTTTTATTTAATGTTCCTCTAGTCCAGCGGAGGATGGAGCATACCAATAAACCCTGAAAGCAAACTCGGCTTTGCAAAAAGATGGACTAACCATGAAGTTCATTTCCTTCAGGAGAGAGACAGGACCCCGCGATAGGGCTTCGCACTGGCCCGTCCCGGCCTGCAGCCAGCCAGGGTCGTGGGCGTGGAGGCAGCCCTGAGTCCCAGCCCAAGCCTCACGTGGGTCCTCCATCTCGCAGCTGCGCCAGCTGCCTGCACCCCATGGCTGGGCTTGTGTTCGTGTATCCCACGCTCAGCCCAGCATCTGGGGGGGATGTGACCACTAGGCATGTGTCCGGGATCAGCAGGGCCACCCTGCATGCCCATGTGGCAGTCCTGGCTTACCAGGGACACCACCCAGGGCCTTTGTCCAGGATCTTTTGGGGTAGCGACTGAAAGGCCCCTGATTAGTAAGTGTGGCGACAGGAGAGGAGTCAGCAGCCCCTTTAGGAATTCTCTCCTGTGTGTGATGCTGGCTGTCGGTGCTCACCCTGGCCTGTGCACAGAGGCGCCTCGCTTCCTCTCGTAACTCAGCTCCCTTCAGTGTGCCCCGGGAGCGCTGTGTGGTGTCAGTGCTGCGGTGTCCACGGTCCGGGGTTGCTAAGCCGTAGTCTCCGCTCACTGTCACGGCCCGTCGGTGCTGCCATGCCCTGTGTGGCAGCAGCATGTATCCGGATGGCACCTAGGCCTCACGGCAGTTGCCACCTGCCCTCCCTCTCGTAGCTTCTGGGGCACAGCCTGCTCCTCGGACCTGGAGGCACTTGTCCCATTGCCGTGCCCGCCGCTGGGCTTCAGTCGGCGTTGGAGGGGGAAGGCGCCAGGCAAGCCGGCATTTTTTCTTTTTTTTTTTTTTTTTTAAGAATTACTTTATTCAGTTTTTATTTATTCATTCATTTATTTAATTTGACTAGAGAGAGACACACAGGAGGAGAGAGAGAGGAAAGTGAGAAAGCAAGCTATCAGGTCTGAGACTCGAACCATGGTTGACCATATGGGAGAGTCGGTACCTTAACCACCACGCCACCTGCCGGTCCCCAGCCCAGCAATCTTGACTGGCTCCGGTGCTTGGGCATTGTCATGCCACCAGCAGACGGTGGCTATAGAAGTGGCCAGGGTTGAGGTCTAGAGTGGGGCCCGACAAACCTTACTCACAAATCCCTCCTGCAGGCTGTCAAGAACAAGTACGCGAGCAGCAAGCTCCTGAAGATCAGCACGATCCCCCAGCTGAACTCCAAAGCCATCAAGGACCTCGCCGGCCCCCTGATGGGGCGGTCCTAGGCTGCCCTGGCCCGCGGACGGGTCCTCCTCCGTGCACTTTTCTTACCGGCTTGGAACTCGCGACTTTGTAGATAGCCCTCCTGTCTATTTCATTAAACCTTCTGTCAGACCGATTTTCTAAACACATATTGAGGAAAAATAAAGCTATTGATTTTTCTTCTGGTATCCCCGTGCATTTATTTGCCTATTCTGTAAGGGAGGCAGCAGTGCGTGTGGCTTCAACCAGTGCCCTGTGAGCTACGGTGAAGAGAATGTGAATTACTCCCTCTGTGGCTTTGGGAAGGACTGCAGACTGCTGGCTTCAGGTAGTACACATCTATTCTTAAACTTCTTGATGGATTCATTATGAAACTGTAAAGTGGGAAGATCACCATGACAATTTCCTTTCTAGAACCTACTTACCTGCACTCATTCCTAGGAACTCCTGGCCCGCAGGGCCCTGGCCACTGAGTAAGCCTGGTGATGAGGTTCTCTCCAGGCACAATGGAGACCAGAAAAGCAGATCTGAGGACCCACAGCTGGAAGAAAATGGGCCTGCGACTCCCTGTTACCATGGAAACTTAGAGCGCGTTTTCCTATTGTGCTGCTCCAGCTATGCTGTGGGCGAGGTAGTTTGGGGGTTGTCTTGCTGGGTATTTAATCAGTGAACCATCTTTTCTGAGTGGGGAGCGCATTCTCAGTCCCTAACCACTAACTTTAAAACAAACACTTCCGGCCGGCAGGTGGCGTGGTGGTTAAGGCTCTGGATTCCCACCTGGCCAGTAGTTTGAGCTCTGGACCTGGCGGCTTGCTTTCTCATTTCCCTCTCTCTTCCTCTGTCTTTCTCTGGTCCAATTGAAGGAGAAAAGTAAAATTAAATAAACATTTTTTTTTTTAAAGAAATAGCTTTAAAAAAGCAAACAAAACAAAACGCTACCCAGAAACTCAGCGAGTATCTTCTAGCAACAGCTTCCCGAACTGTTGATTCAACAAGATGTTAATTGACCTTTTGCGAGAAGAGTGAGTGGAATAAATTTAGGAACCATGGCCGAGTTTTAGAAGTTCACAAAGGCTCTAAAAACCCTGCAGTAAACTCATTTAGCTCAGCATTGCCCTAACCTAGAACGTGGTAAGAGCTGCCTTCTGCTTGACAGCAAACCCAGCATTTGGTCCCGTGAGTCATGTGTGGCTCAGCACACCTGACCCCCTCTCCCCGCAGCCTGCCCCTCACCTCTGGAGGAGAGCCAGCTTCAGGTGGGGCTGGCTTCTCCCCTTCTCTAAGTTCTGAATTTTTCCCCTTTTATTTATTTATTTATTTTTCTTTTTTCTTTTCTTTTGGAGAGGTTTTTGCTATAGGGCATGTGTGCTCACCAGAAAGACAGAGACAGAGACAGAAAGTGAGAAATCACCCCCCAGGGGGGATGGCCACACCACAATTTCTTTTCCTCATTCTCTTCTCAGGATCTTGGGCGCACACGCACCCAGCATGAGGTTAAGCCACTGGGTCCGGGACTCGAACCACAGTCGACTATATGGAGTCCAGCGATATAGCCATTACGCCAACTGCTGGTCCCTTTTTTTTTTTTTTTTTAGGTTTTTGCCATAGGGTATGTGTGATCGCTGGAGAGACAGAGAAAGAGAGCAGTAAAATGAGAAAGTGAGAAAGCAGCCTCTCCCCAGGGGCGAAGGCCACTCTGCAGTTCCTTCTCTTCTGTTCTCCTCTTAGTTTTATGGGCATGCATGCAAATGTTCCTGGTGTGATTTTCAAGCTGCTGGGTCCAGGACTGGAGCTGTGATCAACCGTGTGAGAGTCCTGTGCCTTAATCATCATGCCACCTGCTGGCCCCAGTTTTTCTTTTTCTTTTTTTTTTTTTAAAAAGAGACAGAGAAAGGGGAAGGAGAAAACACCACCTCCCTTGAGGCATGATTAAGACACAATCCTTTCTTCATCTCTCCCTCCTTTCAGGATTTTGGGTACGTGCGTGTATATGTCTAGTGTGTTTTTCAAGCGGTTGGGGCCAGGATTCAAACTGCGTTGGTCTGTGTAGGATCCGGCTGCCTTAACCAGCGGGCTACGGAGCTGGCACTCTGGGTTTGAGCATTTAGAGGACTTAGTATCTTTATATGTTGAAATCCTAGTATGGTTTTATTTTTCTTTTCAAATTGGCTTCTAATTTACATTTAATTGTTAGACATCTTTGTGGAGCTTACCCCATTCAGCATTTTCTTTCTCTTTTTTTTTTTATTT